GGAAAGGGGGGGGGGGGGGGGGCGGCGGGTGGAGGTGGAACCAAGAAGACAACAAACCATTGTTTGTTAGTTAGCCTGGATTAAAAGAAAATGTTGTTTAAGATTAGTAGCAAGCTACAACCTTCTCCACCCAGCTGCATCAGAATGTTCAGGCTGCAATTTCAAATGTGTGTCTCTGCCTTATCTAAATTCCAGCATGACACATAATAAATAGCTTCTCATTTACTATCATCATAAAAATTTAAACAGCCTTGAAATAGTTGCTACAATACAGAACGAGAAACAAAAAAAGCATCAAATGCATGTTTTAAATCCCCACTTAAAAATAGTAAAACTATTTTCAGATTGAAGAAAGAGCACATAAAGATGCATTGTTGCAGTCAAGGCAGTTACCTTGTTTTTAAAAAAAAATCATCTGTTCTGTCTAGTAGTATTAAAGTCAACAACTTGCTGTTTTACACTGCAAAAAAAAAAGAAAAGAAAAGGACTCGCAGCCCTTAGCTATCATATAGTGTCAGATTTGCTTTAAAAAAGAAAGTATCTGATTTGATTCTCTACAGTGATTAAACATCTTTGTGCTCTGCTGAGTAGGGCAGGCGATCCCCTCCCCCTCCAAAAATGGCATCAAAGCAATCAAAATGGTAATGTTCAGCATGAATGGGGCCCCCTCCCCCACCTTCAAACTCTGCAGACTTTTCTCCATGTTAGGAAGAAACCAACACCCCTTCCTCACAAAATGGAAGCTTCCACTACCAAATTGAGAGTGCTGACAAATTCTGATTACAATAAACTGGGAGAGAGGGAGAAAAAAAAAAGAAAGGGTGGCATCTCACCGCCCGGGGCGACGCAGGGTTTAGGAAGGGAGGGGAGAGAGGGGGTGCGGATGTAACAGGCACGGATCACTTTTATGCACCGATCACTTTGCAACTTTAACCACAACTCTGCCAAAAATCAGTGCCTGGCCCCCGCCCCCAGCTCTCTTCAAGAAGCAAGGCTGTTTGACTGGAGTAGAAGATCCCTGCTTTTCTGGAGAAGAGGTCTGGGGCTGGGGGAACCCAAAGCCGCTGTCCAAGTTTGTGGTTCTGAAAGGGCTGCTGCATTCCGAAGGAATCGCGATCGATTCAGTCAGGGGGAAGGGAAAGGAGAAGGGGTGGTGCTGGGGGGCGGCTCAATCTGGCTGCTAAAGGGGCTTTTGGAAAGCTGCCTGAGTTTACAAGGAGGGTTGGGGGCGGTGGGGAGGGGTGACTTGGATCTGGGAGCAGGGGGTGAAAGTTCTCTGCTATGCAGGGCTCAATCCGCCAGCTCGGGGACTCGCTGTGCCAAGCTGCCGCTGGGCTTGTGTATCAGAAGTACCAAAAGTGGAAGGAGAAGGAGGAGGAGGAAGGGGGGAGGAGGTGTGTGTGTGTGTGTGCGTGTGTGCGGGCGCGCGCGCGCTCGTGTGCGCGAATGCGTGTGCAGAGCTTGCAGAGCGCAGGAGAGGCGGGAGGCTGCTGAGCGTTCAATGGCATCTGTTCGTGGTGCTGAAAGCGAACAATCCCCGGCTCCTCTCCATCAGCTGACCCCGGCTAAACAAACTCACAATAGAGAAGTGTCTTTCATCCTGGGAGGGGGGATCCCTGCACAGGGGTCACGGGAAACAAGAACAAAAATAAGAAAGTTTTGGTGGGGGTAGGGTGGGGGGAAGGGGGAAGGGTTTGGAGGGGAGGTTTCTTACTTGTTTTTGTTTCCCTTCTTCAGATCCCCCCCCTCCCCCAATCACTGGAAGAGGCTTTTTTCAGCAAAAAAGTGAAAGTGCCTAAGTGAACTCGAATGAAATGCTAACACGTCAGATCAGACCA